GGCTCTCCGGATCAATTCCGCTGACGGGTGATTGCTGACGGCACCGATCGATAGAACTAGCTAAGAGACAGGCGTAATGAGTGACCCGCATGGTATGATGGTGAAGGCGTTAGACCGAGGAAAAGGTAAAATGGAAATCTCCTTACAAAGATGCTTTGCACTCGCTGATAAAGACATCAACACTAGAAAACTTAATAGCAAAATAAATTCCTTTGAATTTTTGCAGTAAATCCACCTACCGGTGTTTGGTAGTTACAAAAAAATTTTATACTTTAGCATCTACTACGGAATTTGTGCACCATCTACCATGCAGACACTCGTAATCTTGTACAAATGCAACAGAAATTAAAGGAAATTTTAAAAAGATGCCTTTATAACGAACCGTTTCCAACGTCAACGCACTTGCAAATAATCGGGTTAGATCTTCGATGTTTTCATTCGTCTGGGCAAACATTTGTTTTATGGTGTTTGAGACATTTGGAGGACATGTGCGAACAGAAAGTAGAGCAATAGACAAGACCACATCAAAAGTAGTGAGTGTCTAAATTTTAGCAAATAGTCGAATGAGAAGTGTTCCTCAAAACTGAATACCATTATAAAGTGGCACTTGTATACCTGCCGAATGTTACACCAGTAAAATCCAATCAAGTGGCGACAAATGTAATATAGTGGTCTACTGTCAGAAAATGAATATATAAAGCAGTTCTGACGAATTCGTTTAACACATAACGCCTCAACTGCGCAGCATACAATTCAATTAAAGACAAAATAATTGTCATTTTTAATTCTAAACCAATATATCTCAGCTCATAAAAGGATAAATGAATAAGGCTCTCGGCGTTGATCAATCCCTGAGGGATGTGCCATGCATCCGACTTCACTGAGCATCGTTTGGAGATGATTGAATGCATATGTGGCCCTACCAATGACTCGCGGTGGCCTACGGATGTGCCGAACTAGTGCTCTCAGACAAGTCTGATACCAATTTGTCAGCCACGGAGGGATGGAAGGCTTGGTAGACCATGGGCGCGTGGATCCACCCTGTATGTGTATCGCAGGGTGCTTCCGACCACTGCGCTACACGCTCCCTGATTTCAGCTCATATTAGACTTTAACATTTAGACCTACCAAAAAACATTGCAATCTATATATCGTTGCCTAAAACACAAACCTTGTCTTTCTAAGATTAAATAACAATTTTCTGCTGCTCATGATATGTACATTTCTTGCATTTTTTTTTGCTGGAAGGCTCACATTTCGAACACGAGGGCAAATGGAAAGTCGGAGTTTCGTCGACCATCAGAAGCTTTTGTGTATCGCTGATTTTGAAAACGTAAATGTAACCATTAATTTTTTGAAAGCGCCAGGTTCAACCATAACTGAATGCGGAACTACACTGTGTAAACGTCACTATGCGACCAATGCGATGGAACAAAGTTTCTTCTATAAACCTATAAACCTCTGAACTCCCAAAGTACACTAGCAATCGATAAATTATCACTAGTTATCGAAAAACCAGCTCGAGGCATTATATGTTGATCATCAGACAAAAAAATTAAAAACACTACTGATGGACTGTTCGGCTTTATGGAATAATGGAGATTTACTATGAATTAACCTCTATGCTGATTATATATCTTGAAACTTCAAAACAAAACAAAAAAGTTACGAACACGCGGAGCTCTCGAACCCGAGACGATATCACTTCCTTGCGACACAAATTCGTCAGCCCCAAGTTTTTCAGAGAGTGCACTAGTTTTGAGAAACTTGTGTACTTGTCTCCAACGATACTCTCCTCCAAGCACGATAAACTGTGTAATTTTTCCGAAAACCTCACCGACGATCTCATCAAGACTGTAACGTCTGAAATAAGGTTCCACATTAAGCAACCAACCATGCCCTAAAACCTTGAGCAATTGGAGAATTTCGAAAGGATGCCTACTGAGTGGCGATCCAAAAAATGTATTCGTAACGCAAAAATGGACTTACAGTTTTCCTCGACGAGATAGACTTAATTGGTCCACATGAAAATGAGCAGACAATTGGCCGAGCAAATCAAAAAAAGCATCCTTAGTTGAGTCATCCAAACGGCGAAGAAAAAGTTCGATTAAAGAAGGAAGCAACTCCAAGTCAAAATCACTCAGTGACTTGAGGACTCTAGTTTGCATCTAAATAATATACTTAAACATTTATAATCATGGACTACGCTCATATTACGTTCTCAAGAAATTATTATCCGAACAGGACCTGCGTTTTCAAAATCGCATATCTCATCTTGGCACGAATTTTATTAATAGAAGTAGAAACCATTAAAATCTACACATTTTCGTCAAGACGCAACTTTATGCCAGTTACATAAAATTCTGGACCCCTGGAGGTGACGAAGTGGTCCAAGCCAATTTTCGCATTGGCATAATTTCTGAAACATTTCTAGCCTTTGGAGTTATCAAGATGCTCGAAGAAGTGGTATTGGTTGGCGAGTGGCATGGCCAGTATCTGAATGAGATAGAGTTTCGTAGACTAGCCCACACCTATGCAACGTCGGTTGTACGACCCGTGGCCACGCTTTATTATGGGGAAGATTTGGTGCTTTTCTATTGACAATTACGTTACCCATCTTTTGAAGTTCCTATGGAACCTTCTTTGACGCTCCGAAACAGTTACAATGTACGCATTGAATTCTTTTGCAGTTACTTCTACCAAACCCTTCAATTCACCACCATTATTAGCAGGACTTCCACGACCTTCTTCATCTTCAACGTCGAATTTGCCACGGCGTACGTTACAATACAGTCCAGAAGCAGTTCATTCTGGCCGCGCAGAAGAACCTCCGTTGATGCGCTTCAAACCGGCAACTTTTTTAGTTTTAGTTCAATTCCAGCGGTAACCATTTTTCAAGGTTCTTCGATTTTTCAGTTATCTTGAGATACTTCGAAACAGTTGAGACACTCATATTGAAATCTGTACAAGTTCTCAAACTGTGGTGCACTCGTAATTACTTACACGAAAGCCTTGGAGTTGGCGTCATCAGTAGCAGAGAACATTAGCGACCTAGCTCACCTTCAAGATCGAATTCACAATGAAAAAGTTTTACAAATCAACGTTGCATTGTGCTTTTGTTAACACTTCCCTTGCCATATATCTCATCCATATTTCGATCCGTTTGCATTGAGCACGACCAAGTTTGGGTTAGTAGAATTTTCGAAACCGCTGTTTCGATATCTCAATCTTTAATCTACAAAACCTTCGAAAAATACATTTTTTATTAAAATTCAACTACATGTGGCAGAATTGCATAAGATGAGCCTTGCAATACATACCAGGAGAGTGTTCCAGGGGGAAACTACTAATACCTATGCAAGAAAAATGAAATTACTAAATGGACATTAATTTCCGTGAAACCTAATATATCAGTGCTGCAAACACCAATAATGTTCACAGCAAGAACATTGAACCAGCCTATTTATATACCTTCGCTGCAGCTCCCGAGTCAGAATTCAGCAATAAAAGCGCAGAAATCACGGCCAGTTTGCAACCAACTGGATCTATCTCCACATCACGTAATAGAAACGACTGCAGCTCTTTGGCTGCTTCACCTTGGATGCCGACATCAGTGATAACCTAAAGTAACATTCACCGACGTTCCAAATTTTGTACTGTTTGATATTGTCCCAAAATATACTCAAGGCATCTCACTGTTTTCAAAATTGGCGTTCAGTGTGAAATCGTAATATTTGTAATCAATACATTAGAAATTCATATTTTAGAACATTTTAGAACGCCTAGAACATTTCTAAAATGGATAACAAACAAATTCCATTGAGCAATCAAGCAATCGCACTATCAGCCTAAGCTATTTCACCGTTTCAAGTGAAGGGAATGCCATAAAACCACTAAAACTAATGAACGAAGCGTACAAGGCAAAATTTCCGAAGCTGGTATGCAGCGCACTTGGGCATAAGTACTTGGAGTTGCATAAAATGCTTAAATGAAGAACACTGATAATTTCGATGGCAAGGGATATCAAATCATTTAACGTACATGAGAACTTCCAACGGTTTACCACCTCATCGCAGCTAGGAGACATTCCTAAGTGGCGGCGGCTTGCGATGCACAATGGGCAGATTCATCCCCAGTAGGGTCTTCCAAGCTGAGTCCAGAACCCAGCTAAATGTAAACCAATACCAGGATCCACCACCGTCCTGGTATCAAACTAGCCACATGATGGCAAATCTCCTTCTGATACACAAGGGCGGCGACTGCCTGTGGTGGTGACGAAACTGCGATGACTAAATAAGCAAAACTCCGAAAAAATGGAGATTACACTGTGGGGAAGAGGAGAGGTGGGCACAACCATGAGAATGAGCAATCCTAGTACCCAAGTAAGGAAATAATGAATATGAGAAGGGCTACCGTTATAAACGACAGAAACCAAACTTGCAAAAGCCAGTTATACCTCCGGAATCGATGAAATCAGGGCATTTCTAATTTCCGGCGACCACTTTAGGATGTCTCGCTCGAAAATACTGCAGAACAAAGGACGACTGTAGTAGATTCGGTCGATGAAGCGAATTTGTGCGATGCAAATTTGGCATAAGTCTGACATATTGCGACTCTCTCTGAAGAGTGAAAATATCAAATCCACACGTATTTTTAAAAAAAAATAGCAGCAATCTAAGTAAAGTTTCTAAAAGAGGAGAAATATAATTGGTAAATTAAAGCATTACACTAACTTCTGTAGAATCTGTAGTTGAGTCATTAACAAATCGAAAGCTTTTACTTGTGAAGATCGACAAAGCAACAGCACGCGAAAGATCGATTCCTGGACTCCGCAGGAACTAAAGGATGGAAGACGATCTTTCTCTAGTTATCAATGCAACAATGTTATTAAAATCAGAGCTGATAGATAATGTGCAAGGACCAACGAAGTTCCCATTTTCACCTGAAAAAAAAACGACCCACGACATTTCAAGAAAAGAAATATAACTATATAAGTTTAGGAATACAGACCAGGACTGTGCAGATCGACCAGATATTGTCCCAGATGAACCAACAGGCATAGATGCAGAGGATAAAAAGAATGAAGCTTTCGACTTGATCACTCTCTTAGGGATGCGCCACGGATTAGACCTCACTAAGCATAGCTGGAGGTGACTGAAGGCACACCTGGCCTTTACAATGACTCGTGGTGGCCTATCGATGTATCGAGCCACCGCTGCCATCCTCTCAGACAAGTATGCTACCAATTTGCCGACCATGCAAAAATGGAGGGCAAGGTGGGCCTGGAGTGTGGGGATTGATCCCAAGTGTATTGCAAGGAGCCTCGGGCCACTGCGTTACATGCCGCCCTTATTAAAATGCCGAGCAGAGGAATATTCCATTCCAAAAAAAGTGTTTACCTTTTATTTTCTGCCTTCTATAAATTTTACGGCAGGGTATTACGCCAAATACAACTGCAAGATTGCTGAGATATTTGCAAAACTCCGGACCGCAGGTGTCAACTTTGTGAGGGCAAGTAAAGTTTGAAACTAACGAATGTGATGGTTCTAGGTACGTGATGAGACTGCTTTCCTCGTCCAACGCTTCCTCAAAAGAATGCAGCAGCTCTTCTTTGTACTACAAAGAATTTAGGTAGATGATGTAACCGACCTGGGTAAAGAATGAACATACCTGTTCGACGCTCATGTTAGTGTCTAATTTCTTGACCAGTGCTTTTGTTGTTATATTTCCTGGAAATATTCGTGCTCCAGAAGAACACCATAAATGAAATATTGTGTAGCTAAATTAAGAAAAAATAATTTCACCAAGATCGCACAAGTTCAAACGTAGGCAAAATAGTGGTGTCATTATCAAAACCATAAAGTGCATAGATCTATTACCTATATACATGTACTTCTTATAGTTTTCGTCGCTTCTCACTTCAATACCTTCACGCAGAAGTATTCTCTCGAACTGGTTCGACGGAGCGATGACTTCGCCATTGTCATGGTCGTAATGGACGACAACTCTGCAAGAGATGGGAACTAGCTGCTGAACAAAACCATTTCATAGAACTAAATAAAGTACCCCTCCCAACGGTGTACCGCCTCATCGTGGCTTTTTTACTGGGTATCGGACTACGATGTACAGCGGTGGGATTCATCCCCCTTCTCAGTCTTCCAAGCTGAGAAGGAATCCACCGTTCCCATCAGGAAACCCAGCTGAGTAAACCAATACCAGGATCCACCACTGACCTGGTATTAAAGTTGTCGCATGGTGGCGAATCTCCCTCTGATCCACAAGGGCTGCGACTGCTCGTGGTGGTGAAGACGCAAACTTTGGCTAGGCTGACCTCGGGACTCTAGAGAACCACAATGGCTAGTGCTAAACCAGCAAAACCCCGAAAAAGTGGACATCTTGCTGGGGCCCACAAAACCAGTGAGGGGGCGTCCAAGTATGCATAAAAGTAAGTAGATAAAGCACCTATCCCGTCGCTGGGTATCATTGTGGAATTCTCTCACTTGCGAACGTTTTGCATTCAAACTTGGTTCGAGAACTGCAAAATATTAGATGAAACATGGAGATAGTGGACTGCAAGAGAAATCCTACCATTGGAATCCTGCTGAATACGCTCTGTCGAAACTGCTCCAGTATCTGTGAAATCATCAAAAAGGTCATCTTCACAATCGGTCCACATGACTTCTGCAAAGTGTACGCTGAGTCTTTCAATAGGTATAAGCACGCTTGGTAAAATTAATCACAACTAGTACTGCCACAAGCTTAAGAAGCCACCAAACTCTAAAACCGATTCTTAGAAAACCTTAGCACCTTTTTTATCTCACGACACATCGGATTCCAATACTAATTTAACACAACGCAAGCTCCACAACAAGTTTCCAAAATACAGAAAAAAGAAGACAGAAAAAATCGTGACGAGACTTTGGACCTCACTCATAGGTGATCAACAATTCTGCATACAACAGCGAATAGAAATTCCCGCGGCCTAGCATTTAAATCAGTGGGGAAAACTCGTCCATTTTGAACCGCCATTTCCAAGGCGATCTGTACTCGCATTGTTCTCTGAGAGGCAACGCGTTCATCGGACATCGTGCATTTGCTTGATTCCACTAGATAAATCTTCAGTTATGTTAGTTATGTGAATTCTCAGAAACCTCATAAAACTGAGCAATATGTTTATTGGATAGGAAGGTCCTCCCGACGCAATTAATCGACAGACCGACTGAAAACGATGTAAAAAGCCGATCCGATGATTCATATGAATACTTCGACAGCTTGTACATCTGAATTTGGCGCCCCAAATCAAAATTCCTTTTCCTCTTGGTCGCAGCATTCGCTCATGAAGACAACTGCCACCTACAAGGTACGTATAGTCCTCAGCTGTTGAACTAGATCAACTATGGTGAGCTAACCACCCAATGGTTTACCGCCTCGTCGTGGCTGGAAGGTGTTCCTGTGTGTCGGGCTGCGATGTACAGCGTGGGTATTCATTTCCCGGCAGTGTTTTCCAAGCTTATAAGGAGTCCGGCGTTTCCATCACGAAACCTAGCTAAGACTAAACCAATACCATGATCCACCACCGTCCTGGCATCAAACTAATCGCATGGTGGTAAATCTCCCTCGGGTCCACAAGGGAGGCGGCTGCCTATGGTGATGACGACCTGGGGCAGACTTTGGCCTGGCTGACCTCGGGACTCCAGGGAACCACAATGACTAAGGCTAAGCCAGCAAAACCCCGAAAAAGTGGAAATCTTGCTGGGGCCCGCAAAACCAGTAAGAGGGGATCGTCCAAGCATGCATATAAGTAGATAAAGTAGACCCATCTTGCGCTGCATAGAACTCCCTTCACATGGATATTTGGATACTTGAACGGCCCGTTCTCACTGGTTGTGCGGGCCTCAGCATAATCACCATTTATCGGAGATTTGCTGGTTAAGCCATGGTCGTTCCCTGGAATCCCGAGGTCAACCTGGCCAAAATGTGCCCCAGGTCCTCGCCACCACATGCATTCGCCGCCCTTGTGGGTCAGAGGGAGATTTGCGACCATGTGACTAGTTTTATACCAGGAGGGTGGTGGATCCTGGCATTGGTTTACTCTTAGCTAAGCTTGGAAACGCCGGACTCCTCAGCATAGGAGACCGTGCCGGGTGGACGAATCCCTCCGCCCAACATCGCAGCTCGACACTCAGGAAAACCTCCCGGCCACGACAAGACGGTGAACCGTTGGGAGGAGTATTCCCATGACAAATCAGAAACGCGCAACTCATTTCTACCACAGCGTACACCTTTCTGTCAAATAATGGTTTCCATTGTCCTTATGTAGTTGGAATCATCTGTCCTGTCGCATAATTTCTCGGAACAATGGAACCCATTGGTGTACACGCTTTGTGTGGTAAAGCATATCCATAAGTGCTTGTGCTTATCATCAATTAAATAAAAGAAAGATTGGTACATCATACCATATATTGGAGCTGAAAGTTTTGCGACACTCGAACATGCGAATAACACATGGGATCGATTCCTGCGCACCGTGATTCACTAAGCCTTCCACCCTTCCGCGGTAAGCAAATTGGTGCCAGACTCTCCCAGGAGGATAGCAGCACTGGCTCAATGCATCGACCGTGAGTCATTGTAAATGCCAAATATATATTCAATCACGTCCAAACGATGCTTAATGGAGTCGAATGCATGGCGCATCCCTAAAGTATTGATCAACGCCGAAAGCTTCATCCTTTATTTCTTTCACCCTTTTTTTCTTTCGCTTTGACATATTGTTTACTATGAACTCTTTCGAGGCGTTCATCTCTATTGTTCAAGAATGATACGACCATGTCCACATTCGAAAAATCAACTGTCAGGCTTTCCGATATTTTCTCCCTTGTGAATTGACCACTTCGTTTTTTTCAAAGCAGATTTCGTTTTCTTTAATTTTGACAAAGAGCAATTTTAAAAGCGTGGCAGCTTCATATTGGAGAGTACTGTAAGAAAATGAACCAGACCATAGATATCGAAGATTTGGCGTCAGTGTTGTTGCTGTTCTTTCAAATTGATTCAGGTCCTCGTCTCGTTCGAAATTCTTTTCTTCATAAAACGAAGAGAAACCTCCAAATCCATAAATTCCTTCAGCATAATTTAGAACATGCTCACATCTTTTTAGTCGAATTTTATCAAGACCTTGCAGTACACATCGCTAAGAAGTACGATTTTCTCATTCAACACCATCACAACTGTTTAAACAAAGCCATTTCGCTCAAACTGCTGAGGTAGACAAGAGCAAATTACGAGGTCTTGATGGTCGTCCTCTACATCGCAGATAAAGCTATCACTGTATCCATAAGGTCGGTGGGAAACAGCGTCCACCAGTTCGACTCCAATTTCTACAACAGTTCGGCCAATCCACGTTGTATGAAGGACAGCTTGGACACAGGACAGGACAGGACAACGAAGTAATGCTGCGAAAAAGGTTCAACGAGATGAATCAACACGTGGTGAGGAAATAAAGTGAACTGGACGGAACTGTTTTATTCCACCTTCACCGATTCAGAAATAAGCGTACTTTTTCTTCTGCTTATTTCGCTTTAGTGTTCCCAACGTGAACGATGAACTCTCAACGTCAGCACTCAACATCAGGACTCAGTTGAGACAGAAACAACAGAACCTGCTTGCTCGAAGGTATTGCAAACGATAATAACAGAATGCAGGAGACACAGTCGATGGTTGACTTTTCTGCTTTCCATCGCCTGGTTTTTGCAACGCTACGATTTTTTCCAGCTTAGATGAATTCTGGTCGATTATCGATGTTTTTGGTTGACTTCTATGGAAACAATATTCCTACTGAACGAACTACCTTCTGATTAGGAATCCACACTGAACTGTATGACACCTCCGTGAGGAGTACAATGGAGAACACCTAGTCGCTCGTCGCGCAATCCTTCTCCGCCGGTTTCTGCCCTGACGTATTCATCGTAAACCTGTATACCATCTAAGTGGTATAAAAGACCACCCAGTGTATGGTCTCGAACGTATATAGAGAGGGCGATGCTAAGAATATACTGTATCACGCAGCTAAGAAATGGCATCCGAGTTTCCAACCCACGATGACGATCCAACAAGACCAGATGTGCTACCGCATATACCAAGATGAGAACTGGTTGGAAAGCATGTATTAAGAATTTCAACACTTTCACAGTGTTTTGCGTTGATTCCGACGCATTTCACCCACTGTTTTCTTCTGCCTCATCAAGTTTTCTGCGCTACACTTTTTGTATTCAGTCGACTGCGTCCTCACCAGAAACGTAGCATTACATCCGAGAAGAACCAACAGTACCGTACACATCAAAATTTACAAGAACTGTTCTCCAAGTAACTTTATTTATCAAGCCATGGGTTGTTTGTGGTGAAGAGGGTACAGGAATATCCTTAACGGCGATAATACCACAGATGATGAAAGTACTGAGCAGAAACACAAATCCAAGTGGCGAGATTCGCTGTGATTCTCTTTTTTACCCATCTAGTGGCACAAGAAAGAATACAGGATAAAGTTCTCGACGTTGACCAATCCCTAAGGGATGCGCTATGCATTCGACTTCATCAAGCGTCGTTTCGAGGTGGCTGAATGCATACCTTACCTTTTCAATGACTCACAGTGGCCTACCGATGTATCAAACCAATGCTGCTATCCTCTCAGACAAATCTGGTACAATTTGCGACCCCAAAGGCATGGAAGGCTTGGTGGGCCCGGCGTGGGTATCAATCCCATGCGTACTTCAGGGCGCCTCCGACCACTGCGCCACACCTACTGTTGGTAGTAAACAAGACAAATGATTCCTTCTTTCTGGTTTTTTAACGCATTAGCCCTTTTAAAGCATAAGCTAACAAAGTCGGCATATACCTAACACTACACAGCGTTCCAAGTGTTTCACGCCAACCCGGTACACAAGAACTTCTAACAAGCGGGCCTGAGTATCAAGCGAAAAACAGGAAGGTCGTCACACCCAATGGTTAAAAGTTTTCATGAGGATCCAAGAAGAAAAATACGTGGCTTTTGGAGTCTGTTGGACAAGCAGAATCCACTAAGCTAAACTTATACAAGACGAGCGAGCTGACTTTGCTCTGCCCGTTGACAGTGACAATCAACGGGAAGGCACGTAATAAAATTAAGGTAGAAGTATGTTTCTAGATTAAAATCATCAAACAACGAGTTTATTTATAGGTAATCGATCAGAAAAAACCTTTAATACTCTAGTAAAATCCTGGATGTCTATTAAGAAACACTGCATTGCTAAATACATACAAGACGTCCTGCATGTTATTTCTCGCAATTCGTCATTCATAATACAGTTGTTCCGAAACAGCATAACTACCTCATAATAATAACGTTAATAACCTAAAGCACTGTCTCGGTAAAACTCAGACATGTTGAATAAACGAAACAAATTCCTAGCTTATGAAGCAGCACGCGAAAGTAATTCTTATTGACGAGTAGAAGAATTATTAATATGTGTATGCAGACCCGGATGCATAAGAATGAGATGAGGAACTTCCGAGCAACTCTGACTACGCCTTGAATCCTTCCAACAGTGATTTTGGAACATCGAATGTTCTACTCATCATGTCTTTTTGTTCTTGGAGATGAGTGAACTTATTCCCAGTCGCTGGAGAAGCAGATGGATGACGTCCAGTATACCGTATTACACGGTCAGCGGATTGAAGGAGACTATTGAAGCGTGGTTGCACGAAACCCCACGCACCCATGTTCTTGTGCTCCTAAATACATTACTTTAAAAAGAGAGGAATTCAGATGTTCTGCTTTTGTAAAAACTATTGCAGCAACCCTTAAACAAACCAATTTTCAGGATTCATCCGGTCGAATAATTATTACATCAACGCCTCTCTGAGAGGGCATGTTGTTCAATATCAGCACAATAATGTTAAACAGATTCTCTCAATACTTAATGAACACTACGAAGTTTTTGTTCAATATTGTAGCCTGTAAACGTCTTCGTTATGGTGGCGGCAGGATCGGACTACAGTGAATAGCTTGACTAACCAGTAGTTTTACACAACCATATTTCACTTCCTAGAATAAAAACGAAAACCATGTAGTAATAACGTACTACCATGGTAATAAAGGCAATTATTCCAATAACACTTAACCCGACTACGCTACCAGATTTCCGACTTTTAAAAAATATCAGTAACAGGAATAACCAAAACGTACATGCTGCGCTAAGAAACAACGAACCTCCTGTGACCAAATGAGTTCTGCACTAGGATATTTCTGACATTCAGCTTCAATTAGATCGTAAGGAAATGGAGCGATCTGTTCTATACGACAAATCGCAACCACATCATCTTTTCCAACATGTTTCCTAGCATTGATTAAATCGTAATAGACCTTCCCTAAAAGGAAAACAGTTAGCAAAACGTAAAGAAAAAATTTCGACAGGGAAAAACACAAAAAGGATGCTAGTATATGAGCAAAATTTGGAACCACAGGTGGGCGATAACACTTTCCGGACACTCACATTCTATCCACCACAACTACCTAGGCCTTTGCTTTCCCTTCCCTCCAGCCATGTTTTGTCAAAGAACGAGCAAATAAAAGTTAAGAAATATGATTTTGACTGCAACGTTAATTGGATTCAACGCTGATATATGCTTCTTAGACCATTCCCGTTGACGGGTGATTGCTGAGATCACGGATAGCCTAAAAACATGAATAAGAGGAAGCCGAGGCAAGGATTACCGTGATGTGGCGGATAACACATGAGTGTAAGAGAAATCGCGGGTTCGAAGCGCATCCGTGGTTTTAAGTTTTGCTCCTATCTCAGCATCCTTATTTTTGCATTTAACATCATACTTTGCCATGAAAACAGTAGGCAGGAAATAAGTTAAGATATCTAGTAACAGTACTACTTGTATGAATTATCCGCAATGACATGTAAGCACAACTGTATTTCTTTTGCAGAAATAACTTACCCGTACAAAAAATGACTCTCTGCACAGCGCTTGTATTGTGAGAAGGTGTGCCATCTTCAGGTATAACGCGTCGAAAATGCGTGCCTGTGAGGAAATCCTCGATAGGTGAACGAGCTAGTGGATGACGAAGCAATGACTTTGGAGACATAACAATGACAGGTTTACGGAATGGGAGTGTGACCTTAAAAGATTTGACAAATAAAAAAACAAGAATAAAAATAACGTTTGTTTAGCTACTATTCACAAATCGCGATCGTTCTTGGTACTTCGTATAAATAACGTCATCAATCTAAGGATTTTCAAAGCAATCGACTATTAAAAGAAAATGAAGCACCTGTCTTCGAAGAAGATGAAATATATTTGCTGGAGTAGTACAGTTGGCAACAATCCAATTTGTGTCGTGTAGCTGCTGGGCTTCGAATGTACCTCCGAATGCCACTTTCTGCAATATCACTATGCCATCACGCTTACACTGAATATCCAATGGGTATTAGATCTAAACATCTACATCAAGATCGATTTCATCGTCTTCGTTGCACATTTGAAGAAATCTTTCAGGACGAGCAGAAGAGTGTTCTGGTCCCATTCCTTCGTAACCATGAGGCAACAACATCACCAAACCAGACTGACGAATCCATTTCGACTGACCTATACACCAATTAGAATTCGCTACAGAACAACTTTTATGGAAATACTTTGTTGCCTCATAACGAAAAATTACTACTCATCAAGGGAATAAGTTTTAATATCTATTTAAATGACCCGACTAGACATTCCCAGATTCCAGCAGTTCTTTTACTCTATTCGTTGTCGCGCATCCGTCATTCACAAACATTTTCAGATTTTTACATGAGGTCTTCTCAACAGGCAGCTCTTCTCAGAGAAGGTTAATACCAATTCGTAGACTCTGGTAAAATACGACCAAATCAAGCCCTTAAGAACCTAGCGCTCAAAACTAGAACTTTTTTGCTTGTTTTCTAGATGCTTGTGTACCACCTCTTTTTCTGTCAATAATTCCAGTATTTTGATAATGTACAAGTATAAAATTAATAAAGAAGCACAAATCAAACTTTAACAATGATGTGGAAGCTACAAAATTTACAACTAACCGGAAGAAACAAATTGGTCGATCACGCACTGAGCAGTGTTGGCGAAATCACCGAACTGAGCCTCCCAAATGACCAATGAGTTTGGATCGACCATGGAATACCCTGAAATGTGGTCACGTACTGATGAAAGAAATAAGTCACAAATCAGCACCATTTTAAGAAGATATGACATACCAAGCTCAAATCCAAGAACGGCATATTCCGACAATGATGAGTTACATACAGTATATTCGGCTTGTCCTTCTTGGAGATCATTTAAGGGATTATATGTCTGAGAATTAGAAAAAGCATTAAAATCAATCATGAAATGTCATAAAAAGAACTCAGAGATGGATAAACAACCAATGTTTTTCTCAAAACATGTATTTGTCAAGCTGCATTAATTATTTCCTATTGATTAAAACTCTCATCGACGAAATTTCACCCAGCTAGTCCATCTTAAATGTAAGAATAATTCGGTTTGCAAATAACGAGGAGCCACCCAATGGTTTATCACCTCACCGTGGCTGGGAGGTGATCCTGGGTGTCGACCTGCGGTGTAGAGCAGGGGGACACCCCTTGGCAAGGTCTCCCTAGCTGTGGAATCTGGTGTTTCCACCAGGAAGCCCAGCTAAGAGTAAACCAATAACGGGTTCCGTCACCGTCCTGGCACTAAGCTAGGCACATGCTGGGAAATCTTGCGCTGATCCACAAGGGCTCGATTGTACGTGGTGACGACCTGGGACAGTCTTTGGTCTGGCTGCCGAGACCTCAGGAAGCCACAATGGCTAAGCCAACAAAACTCCCAAAAAATGGAAATTATGTCGTTGCCCGCACGACCAGTGAGGACGGGCCATCTAAGAATCCAACTAGGTAATAACGAGAAACGTCAATTACTTGTTCGTAGAATCTCCTTACCTTCTGGTCAACAAGTTGGTCATGCAAGACATGGTGTCTGTGCGAAAATGTCCCTCGTTCTACGTCTTGTCCGCTTAAGCGAACATGTGTGCCTTCTTTAAGAAGCGAACCAAATGCCAACGCCTCCCCACACGCCCAGTCGAGCTGCAAAATGATGGCAATACAAATAGTCTCTATATGTTGATGTTTTCAACTTACCGAATTTTCTTTTAGCATTTGCATTCGCCCTTTGAGGATCCTCTCAAGACCACGATGCAGGTGAAATCCTTCGGGGATCGAACTAAACTTTTCGATGATATGAGTGATGTTGGACTGGTCGATTCCAGTAGTAACAAGCTGTAAAAAGGAAAAATAGCATGTATTGTTGGATAAAAAATCAATTTTAATCCCAAGATTGACTTTCTATTAGAATTAATTTAAGAAATAAAAAACTAAGCAAGCAATGAGGAGCTAATTTTAAGCACCAATGCACCTTTTTGACCCACTTCAGGACGTCAGGAAAGGCGTTAATCATTCTGTGGTCGGCACAGCTACAACATAAAAGCATGGAAGTGCATACAAAAGGCCCCACCATAAAATCTTCGCTGATGTCACGTAAGATGACGCCTAGTCTAAAGCTTGTCAGGGATGTTCTGCTTTCTAAAAAGCAGACAGCAACTTTTCGACACCTAGAAGAATTGATGGGTTGGAAACATGGATCAATTGGAAGAAGCAAACTTGCTCTAGCGCTGTAGGGCACACATGGCATTCACAGTACTAGCATTATATATATATATATATATATATATATATATATATATAACGTTCTCGATATTCTTGTTGAGCAAACACGAGGTGTTACTTTATTCTTTATTCCGTTAAAGCTGACGTTTCGGCGGATTTCGCCTTCTTCAGAGCCTGGAAGGGTATATTGATTGGCAATTTACTAAGTCAAAGGCTACGATAACACATACAGAAAGATGAAAATCTGAATCGCAATCACACGATCAACAGTTTTTCGAAAAAACCCACCGTTTATTATGTGCTTTCCACTGAGTTATCGAAATGTTTGACTTAGTAAATTGCCTATCAATATACCCTTCCAGGCTCTGAAGAAGGCGAAATCTGCCGAAACGTCAGCTTTAATGGAATAAAGAATAAAGTAGCACTTTGTGTTTGCTCAACAAGAATATCGAGAACTACTTGATCAATGCCGAGGTTAATATAAAGTAGGTCGTGGGAATTATATATATATATATATATATATATATATATATATATAATACATATACTACAAACAATATATATATATGAAATATATTCTCAATCCACGTCCATAATCCATGCGTTTCTCTCACAGAAGGACTTAAAGAGGGTTAATCGCAAGGCAACGTGGCGCGTCACCAGGTGGCGCATAATGGGCTAATCGCGGAGCGGCGATTTGACACCTGCCTTCTGTACTTACGAAGACACATTCATACACGCGTGCGTGTGTGCGTTCTTGTTTATGCAAATTCTACTCTACGAGTCAACTCGGCCTAACGCCTACAATCAAGTAACTGGAGAGTACATTGGAAGCAGTAAGGACTCGCCTCCAACAAATAAGCACTCCATCTAATCTAGGAGAGTCTGGTAAGCTACTAGTGCGTACATCCAACTCCCACGCTTTATGTAAGTATCAAACACTAAGAATAATAAAACAAAGAAGTCTCATTCCTCTAAAGCCTCATTCCCCCTAAAGAGCCTCTAATACGGCTGCATTGAGTAGGACGACTACGCAGACTGCTTCCACTCAGCGATCGTCCCAACGTTCACCTACGCAGCAGATATGCGAGCTGGTGTTTCATTCACTCAAAAACTCTGAGCATCCTGTAATATAACAGGAAGAGTTGACAACACAAGCACGAGAATGGCAGTGGAGTGAGTTCAAGAGAATATGAGTTCCACATGGGGGAACGAGCTACTATCATGAACTGATGTGCTTGCTGTTCTCGTCAAACAGATTCATAGACATATTCGTGACTGAATAAGGCTTAGATCACGGAATGGATTGTAAGAATGTCACTATGCTGGAAAAAGACCGCCATCATCATGGACCACGACGCGCGAGAAATAAGCGAAAGGGAAATGTGCTAGGGTATGCACTACTTTTGAATGCATGCCTTCCATGCAACCGAACCACCTATTTTCCAAAGGATGATTAACCTCTTTGAATATTACACATTGTAGAACAAAGGTTTAGTTGAAACCTTCAGAGGATCACGGCGCTTGAAGAAGTCGTCCCAGGGGGAGTCCAGCCAGTCACGGTTACGTACAAAAGTAACCTTCTGAGCGTTCTCATAGGCATCCTCGAGAATCTGACCGTACTTTGTGAGCTCATCCTATAAAAAGAGAAATCTGTGCAAATCTGATATCACTGGAAGCCAGAAAATTACTAGGAATAAAAAAGGGAAAAGAAAATTATTAGGGAGGAAAAAACTACGAACAAACCTTTACATACTGCTCATTCACAACACCCTCAGTGATAATGTGCTCTTGGTATTTTTCCAAAGCCGTCGGCATCTGCTTAATCTTTTGGTACATAAGTGGTTGGGTGAACATTGGCTCATCCAGTTCATTGTGACCATGTCTGTAATATGAAAAAGATTTGCAGTCATTATAAAAACGATCAGTTTTCCTTAGTGAAAACAACACATTAGTCCTCCTATCTCCTTTAATCACTCATGCAAAGAATTATGGAATCTTTTACCTTCTGTAGCACACCAAATCAATAATGACATCCTTTTTGAAAGTTTTTCGCCACTCGGAAGCAACGCTACAGACGTGCATCACAGCCTCAGGGTCGTCCACATTGACGTGAAATATCGGGCAACCGACAACGCGACCCACATCAGTGCAATATGGAGAGGAACTAAACATAATGCATTGAAATTTGATGACCCATGTAAGAGAAAGGTTAACATAGAAAAAAAAACAAGTACAAAAGGCGGTATGCAAAGGAAAACAACATAAAGAGAGTTACAAAGGTGGATCGCACGTAAGGAAAGATGTTATGACACCTGAACACTTAGTGAAACTCCATAACTGCTTTAACACATGCAGAAAGTAGGAATAATCATTGCTATGGAAGTTATTTTCTCCAAGTTTCGACAATCTTTCAAGCTTTTTCTTTCGTTTTACATGATCCAAAATATTTAGCAGATCTCGGCAGTTCTTCTAATCGATTTGTTTTTCTCGCATTCCCCATCCACGAAGTTCTAACTTCAGCGTGTGATTTCCGCTGCTGTTTGAGGATTTCTGATAATCTTTATGAATGCTGTTCAATGCTCTTTAACCGTTATTCTCCTTAGGCAAGCTGTTGTTACTTTTTAACTGGCATTTCCAGTTCCTTACCGAAGGAACTTGCCAATGCTTGCGGACAGGAAGCTTTTTCAAACGCATATGGCACCAATTCCCTAACACCTGACAGATTCGAGTCTTGGCTAGATAAGGACACAATCGAAAAAGGCCGTGGCGTGTATTATTGGACGGTATCTCTACTACTGCTGTACCCATCTATAGAGATTACTTCTTCAGACTTAACATAAAGAGAATAAAAAATGGAAATTAAGACCGGATTCTAAAGTACCGTGAGCTCCTTGGGTCTGTTGTGAATCCGATTTGATTGTTAACAACTATGTGTATGCATCCATGGGTTGTATAGCTTGGTAAATCGTCTAAATTGAACGTTTCCATCACCACCCCCTGCCCTGAGAACGCAGCGTCTCCGTGCATCAGAATTGCCATTGTACGATCACACTTCTTGTCGCCAGCATAGAACGATTCAGCGCGCACCTAGAAAAAAACCTACATGACTGGTTAAACCACTTCTACACTAGAGAAAAAAATTACACCTTCCCCATCACCACGGGATCCACAGCCTCCAGATGAGAGGGATTAGCCACCACAGCGATTTTCACTTTACGTTGAGATTGACGATTTAAACGTTCAATACACACACCCAGATGGTACTTTACATCTCCGGAACCTCGAAAAACAAAGTAACATTTCCAGTGGCAAAAGAAAAGACAAGAGGTGTACGTAAAGGATGAACGAACTAACCTTCATCAGCAGGTTCAAGAGTAGAGAACTGAGAAAGAATAGTAGAAAGCGGCTGCCGGCAGACATTAGCAAGCACGTTAAGACGTCCTCGATGAGGCATTCCAATGACGATTGAATCCACACCGAGATTTGAGGACGTATCGATAACCTGAAAGAATGATGCAAACTAGTAGATAAAAAGGATAAAGGATTAAGTTCTCGGCGCTGATCAATCCCTGACGGATGCGCTATACATTCGACTTCATTAAGCATCGTTTGGAGGTGATTGAATGCATATGTGGCCTTTACAATGACTCGCGGTGGCCTAGCGATGTATCCAGCCAGTGCTCTTATCCTCCCAGACAAGTCTGGTACCAGTTTTCCGACCCTGGAGGGACGCAAAGCTTGGTGAGCCATGGGCGCGAGGATCGATTCCACGTGTGTTGGAGGGCGCCTCCGACCACTGCGCCACACGCGCCCTAAACTAACTAATGAATATGGAAAAATTGAACGGGTATTAATCTACCTGCTTAATTGCAGGAATCAGAACTTCACATCCTTCCAGCCCGAACCTTTTCTCACTAGGCCACTTCTTAGCGAGGAATTCTTCAAACTTCGTAGAACGAATCAATCGCTTGAACAGTACCTGGACAGTAAATGAAAATTAGCCTCGTAGCTTTAGGAACGTTCACATGAATCTGCTGCAAATAGACACCCATAAAGAAGTGTAGAAGAAATAGAAAAACACCCGTGGAAAAAGTGGGATTCTTCACTAAATTGTGATTTACGAACCGGTTTTCAAACCAGTTCACGCGAAATTACAGAAGCACCACTTAAAATTCGATTCTTATCATGATGTAAAGACAAAAAGGTTAAACCCTTGAAAATCAATTAGAATTTTAACTACAGTGGGAATGATTTTAAACCAAACTAGTCTGAAATACCAACTACATTCTATTCAGTGTCCATCGAGGACAAAAAACCATTAAAACAACTAATCATTTTAAGTATTCTTGATAAAGGATAAAAGGATGACGCTCTCCGCGTTGACCAATCGCTGAAGGATGCCCCATACATTCGACTTCATTGGGCATCGTTGGAGGTGACTGAGTGCATATCTATATTTTACAATTAGATACACTCGCTTCTCGCTCTAGCGGCAGCCTAACGATGCATCGCGAGCCAGTGCTGCGTTTCTCCCAGACAAGCTTGGTACCAATTTGCCGGCCCAGGAGGAATGGAGGGCTTGGCGAGCCTGGAGCGCCAGGATCGACCTCATGTGTAGCACAGAGCGTTTCCGAAAACTGCGCCACACGTGCCTTTACCTCCTTGTATTCTTGATGCGAACAATTAACATACTATATCCATAACAGATCTTTTATACCTTTTTTTGATCATGCGACAATTCGGTAACACGGGGCGCTTCAAAATGTTGCCGTATCCACTCCTGCTGCTCGAGATTTGTCAGATGCATATATTCAATTCCAGTGGTTTTGCAATAAATATGCTAAATTTCGCACCAATTCAAAGTGGCTGAAGGACAGTATTTGATCCGGTATATATTCAACAAACCTTCAACCTATGAATGATCTCTTTAAGTGTTAGAGATATTTTGTCACCACCGATAAATGTAGTTGGTGGTAAAAGGAACTCCCTAAAATAAAGACGTGGTCAAGAACAAAATAAAACCTATGACCCTGCGAAAATAAACACAAAGATTCCCGTTTACCTGTCCAAGTCACGTTCTCCAAACCCGTAAAATGAGAGTTCGAGCTCTGGTGGAATAGTGTCATCGAGATCTACACTGTTTATCCCGAGTGGATCCAAATCGGCAATGTTATGTCCACGTGTCTAAAAGTTAAGAACAACATAGGGGAGAAAGGCTAATCGCATGCAGAAACGAAGTGACCTGATAACTTCTAATGAGAAGTTGAATTTTAAGGTGCTCCGAAATGGATTGTATTGACGTTGAAGCATCTAATCCAGGAGAGAGCATAGCTGCCATTCCGGACAAGTGTTGCGGCCTGAATTAAAACTATGAGGAACGCTTCCATTGAAGAGTCATCACTTTCTGAAGAAAAAACTTCATCGCGAAATAGCGTGATACAGCGCTCACAGATCGGAAACGACTTTCAAAAATGCTTTAACAAGATAATAAGCTATTACCTTTCCAAGCGAATAAATTCGCTCAGTAACTATGCCTAGCCATTACTAAACAACGGCTGAGAAAAAAGAACAATCAGCAACCAATATCAAACCTATCTACTGGAAGCTTTTTTCCTGTACGTCTTTTCAGTTCGATACTTGGATACATGGATGGCCCGTCCTCACTGGTTGTGCGGGCCCCAGCATAATTTCTTTTCTTTCGGAGTTCTGCTGGTTTAGCTATTGCGGCTCCCTGGAGTCCCAAGGTTAGCCCAGCCAAAGTCTGCCGCATATCTTCACCACCACAGGTAGTCGTTGCCCTTGTGGATCGGAGGGAGATTTGCCACCATGCGACTAACACCGTGGTGGATCCTGGTATTGGTTTTTTCTTAGCTGGACTTCTCAATGGAAACCCCGAAATCCTTCTCAGCTTAGGAGACCGTTTCAATTTAACAGAGAGGTAAAAATCTTCTATCGCAGGTGATTCTCGCTGTTCTTGTACTGCAATATTGAGAGATGTATATCCTCTGCTATTCTAATCTGGAAATCACATTTTTCCAATAACACAGCCCAGAATAGTACGCAATAGTACGTAAAACTATTCCAGTTGCTCGTTGAAATAGTAAATTTATTGCTTCATGAGATATAGAAAAAACTGCTTCTACCTATTTAATAAACTTACATAGCTGTAGCACCAGCGAACGGGACGCTCGCTATCGGAGACGATACCCCAGGAACACCTGCAGCGGCAAACGAAGTTGGTGGAGCTTGGTAGGCTTGACCCGGAGCAGCACCAGCTTCAACGTTTCTGAAGTACGCATCCCAGGATGCATGTACTGACTTGGAATCCTTCTTCCACGAATCATACATCTTGAACAGCACTTAGTTATTATAGTTTAGTATTGTTCCTATCAAAAAAACATCTAGAACAACAGGAATAGCGTTGTACTAGGAAGAAACCTGTTCAATGTAGAGGGAAGAAGTGGCATTCATAAATGGCTCTTGGTGCACTCCGGAAGCCGTCGACTGCTGACGGACCTTAAAACATACTTCAATGACCCTAATCCACAAGAGTTTTTTAAAAAATGTCCTCAAAAATTTTTAAAACTCTTTAATTCACTCGTACAGCATGGGTCAAATAATGACTAGGTTAAAATTATATGGCATGGATACTTGGGAGATACACTATATAGTACAAAACAAGAACGAAAGGATATAGATCTAGCAAGTTCACCCGAAACATTATCCCAAACAAATCCAAAAGTTACATCGGAAAAATCACTTGTGTCCTTCACCTGAAGTCCTACCGTATCAACACAACCTAACTAACACGTAGTTCTACAGAATGCGTTGTAGGAAGCTGTACAATTTAGGCAGTGCCAAACATTCTCTTTACCAAGTACACCACAGTAGGTGTTACCACACAATCGAGAAAGGTTTTCCCACTGAAAGAGAACAAATATGAATTCGAGATACAACATATTCGCGATAGCCTGCACCGTTACGTAATCGCTCAGGACACAACGGACAATTTATTTCAATGCACTTCCACTACGTTTCATTTCATTTTCTTAATTTCTTAAACCTTTTTTATCTATAACTTCTCCACTCAATCGGTTGCTTACCTATGACAGATACTTGCATGTGTGTTTTGACAAAGGGTATGACGAAAATGAAATAATTCACAACAGCTTTTTCGCACGAGACTTTTCTTTCAGCTGCATAAATTGTTAACGATGAGCATACAAAGGTCATATATGGCAGCAGCACCTCACAACGGCTTACCGCATGATCGTGGTTGGGAGGTGTTCCTGGGTGTTGGCCTGAGATGCATAGCGAAAAGATTCATCTCCCCAGCAGGGTTTCCCACGATAAGAAGGACACCGGTGTTTCCATCAGGAAAGTCAACTAACGTAAACTAATTCCTGGATCCAATGTTTTTCATCAATAAGCAGACACGAGGTTGTTAATATAGAATTTATTAGAACACAATTGCTGACGTTTCGGCGGTTTCGCCTTCTTCAGAGCCTGGAAAGGCCAAATTGAGATGCGATCTACTCAGCCAAACACTTTCATAACCCTAGCAGATAAAACTTGATAAATCGATTTGTGTTCGCATAAGAAACAGCTTCATTCAAACACCTACCGTTTATTTGTCGTAAGTATTTAAGTTAGTTGGTGGATAGCCGCCGCACAGAGTAATACATGGTCGATAACTGGGTCCATGTCAGATCATTGGATCAGCCTGAGGTATGGCGCTAGGTCACGCGTGATGACAAGACACTCCTCCTTGCGGTTCATTTTTGAATTTTTGGCATTGATCCAAAACGCTTCAAGAGTTTTTCGCGCTGATGTTTTCGATTCCTGCGTAAGGATAGTGACTCCTACCTCAAAATCTTCTCCGTTGTGTTCTTGCATCCTATGCGCGCCTAGTGGAGTATTGTGTTTTAGTTATGAAAGTGTTTGGCTGAGTAGATCGCATCTCAATTTGGCCTTTCCAGGCTCTGAAGAAGGCGAAACCGCCGAAACGTCAGCAATTGTGTTCTAATAAATTCTATATTAACAACCTCGTGTCTGCTTATTGATGAAAAACATTGAATTATCAATTNCCCTAGCAGATAAAACTTGATAAATCGATTTGTGTTCGCATAAGAAACAGCTTCATTCAAACACCTACCGTTTATTTGTCGTAAGTATTTAAGTTAGTTGGTGGATAGCCGCCGCACAGAGTAATACATGGTCGATAACTGGGTCCATGTCAGATCATTGGATCAGCCTGAGGTATGGCGCTAGGTCACGCGTGATGACAAGACACTCCTCCTTGCGGTTCATTTTTGAATTTTTGGCATTGATCCAAAACGCTTCAAGAGTTTTTCGCGCTGATGTTTTCGATTCCTGCGTAAGGATAGTGACTCCTACCTCAAAATCTTCTCCGTTGTGTTCTTGCATCCTATGCGCGCCTAGTGGAGTATTGTGTTTTAAAAATGAAAGTGTTTGGCTGAGTAGATCGCATCTCAATTTGGCCTTTCCAGGCTCTGAAGAAGGCGAAACCGCCGAAACGTCAGCAATTGTGTTCTAATAAATTCTATATTAACAACCTCGTGTCTGCTTATTGATGAAAAACATTGAATTATCAATTAATGCCGAGGTTAACAGAAAGTCGGTCATGGTAATTCCTGGATCCACCACCGTTCTGGTATCAAACTAGTCGCATGGTGGGAAATCTCCCTCTGATCCGACTGCCTATGGTGGTGACGACTTAGCTGTCCTCGGAACTCCAGGAAACCACAGTCACTAAACCAGCAAAACTCCAAGAAAATAGAAGTTGTGCTGGCTCCCGCACAACTAATGAGGAGAGGCCATCCAAGTATATATGGCAACAAGAGTACCAAGAGTAGAAGAGTGTACGGAAGACATCTCTACTGCACAAATGCAAATACGTGAGTCTCGCGGCGACTACCTCTGAATTTCGTATTTTCAAATACGTGAGTCTCGCGGCGACTACCTCTGAATTTCGTAATTTCGTATTGACGGGGTAGCGAGAAAAACCTTTGATGACGAGAAAGACACTTCATGTCTTTTTTTCTGAATTTCTTTTCCTCCAATAGCACTTTAAAGCAGAAACAAAGACGTCAAAGATCTGCATATGCTTCAATGGGTTGCATACAATGCATAAGGTGGCAAATACGAGCGATGGAAAACGAGAACAATATATCTTGGCATTGATCGGTCCTACAAGGATGCGATATACATTCGACTCATCTAAAAGGATCACTAAGCATCGAAAAGATTGACTGAATTCATAAATGGCCCATACAATGACTTGAAGGAACTTATAGATGTATCAATTATTTTTATATTTTCAGATATTCCTGCAGAAAATTTGCCATGCTCAGGAATGCTGACGGCATGGTTAGACCACCACTCGATATTGACCAGGTGCGTAGTGCATGGCATCTCTAAGAACTGTAATACACAGGCTCTGAACTTATATCGTATTATTTCAATTTCAATAGTCAGACGGCCTAATCTGTCCGGCGACTGATTCAACTCCCTGCCGAGCTCACCAACAACCGGTCCCTTCCTTCGGGGTCGGAAAAGTGCTACCACACATGTCTGCGACAGGATCACTCTCTCCAATCCACGTGGGAACGCACAATCACAGCTATCTCAGGAATCCAGGAAGAATTGACTCATCCAGCAATCAACGACATTCGTGAAAGAGATGAGAAATCCTCAAGAAGCATCTGAACCCATGCGCAAAATGATATCAAAGAACTGTGTGAATGGCAGATGCGAATGATTTCGAATTCTAATTCAAGAAGTGTTGAGATTCTCACAGTATGCATGATACATGTAATGTCGGCCATTCAATAGAAAAAAATATACGTCGATTTCCAACACTCTAACACATTGGCGAGTATGATGGATTCTGTATGGAATTGAGGACCCGAAAAACTTCTAGAAGTAACCTCTAACTTTTACCGCTCTGGATGTATAAATTTTTCCGAGATGTTATAGCTGCTCGAATTTTTTAAACTGCAAAAAATGGTAATAACACTCTACCGTAATCGTGACAACTCACACGTACTGAAATCACACTTCTTCGCACTAAGAAGAAATACTTTTTTATGGTCGAGATATTCTATGCATACGAGGAAACAAATTTTAAAAAATGGATTTAAAAAATGTAAAAAAAAATGGAAGTGAGAATTCCACCATGGTTAGAGTAAGAAAGTTTGCATATTATTTATAAAGACAGCAACAATTTTTAGTTTCATCAATAAAGTTCCCCATTATCAAAAATGGATTTGTTTAAAGTTGAAAAGTTAAATAACTTCTTGCCCGGCACACGTAGAATCAATGCATATTAGTGAGAATATGTTAAACAACTGGATACCTGTTCGCATATACTTCAAGCATCATTATAGTTCCCTGTATTTTTGTTGAGCAAACACAAGGTGTTATTTTATTTTTTTAATTTCCGAACAAACTGATGTTTCGACGGATTCGTCGTCCTGAAAGCCCGGAAGGGCGAAGTTGACCACTAAACATTGGCTGGGTATATTGAGGTGTTACTTTATTTCTTTATTTACGAACAAGTTGACATCTCAGTGAGCTCGTCTTCTTCAGAACCTCGAAAGGTCAAGCTGACCGCTAAATTTGGCTGGATAGATTGTAGTCAACTTGACCCTTCTAGGCTCTGAGGAAGGCGAATCACCCGAAACGTCAGCTTGCTCGTAAATAAAGAAATAAAATAACACCTCGTCTTTGCTCAACAAGAATGTAAAGAATTGTTCGATCATTGCCGAAGCTAATATAAAGTTGGTTGTAGGAATTACTAAAGACATCACTACAGTGTTCCATGAAATGTGTAGTACCTGAACTGTTGGCGAAAGAACCAGATTCCTAGCATTTCTGGCCACTGTCGAGGTGCTGAGAACGGCGGTAGCGGCCGCCCTGCTTGGTGACGCCAGACGACGAAGTAAGCCTGCACGATGCATCCAACTGATATGTAGGGACCCAAATTTAACCTAAACCGTAGGTTCTTAGAAGAGAAATGTGGATGTAAAAAGTCCAACTGAAAATAACAACATTAAAGACACAAAAGAAACAGTCATACACGTCATACTGTCCTACGCTGTGGAAAGATGTTCAATTACAGAAAAAAAAGAGGATATCCGAAACAGTTAGACCATTACACTTTCTTAAATCGCGAGAATTAAAAAGCCCAGTGTGACGCAAAAACCGTATAATCTGAGGACATTTTAGCAAGAATAATTTAAAAGGCTACCATAGTGATCTCCTAAAATAGTCTTCTGACGCAAACCCAAGGCACCACGCATGTCGTCAGTCGCAATGAGAGTTTAAGGGCATGAAAGCGAATTTCTCAATGGTCGTTCTGATACATTTTCGAGTCCAATCCATAGGTTTCATTAAACTACCGAAACTAGTACTGTGCTCTTCTTTGCTGATATAAGTAAAGAACATGT